ACTGTTTAAACAGTGTGTGTGGTGATCTGACAGTGTGTGCTAACCTGATGGATACAACCTGGTGTCAGTTTGTGCTAACTGTAAACAGAGGCCCTGCGGTGCAGCTCCGTGATGGGACCGGGTCAGAACCAACATTTAAGACCAGCTAACGGAACCGGGTGATAAATAACCCTCTGGGTCCAGCTGCAGACACGGAACCTCTGGGTCCAGGTGTTTCTCAGCTGCTCTCGTGTTGGCAGCGGAGAAACCTGCTCCCCTCCTGTGTTTGGGCCCTGTGGTGCAGCTCCGCGCTGAGGCCCTCGTTCAGATCAGCCGTTAAAAAAACGGATTTCTCCCAGAATTCACTGCGCGTCCGTTACTGCGTTTAACAAGAGATTTACGGGGCGTTTTCATGCCGCTAAAATAGCGCGCTAAGAGTAAAGTGGCGCAGTTTTCCTCACGTTTGATATCGCTGTCCTCCTGGTGTAGCTGAGCAGCAGTGGCCTCCGACAGCTCCGCCATGTTGGACTGCAGCAACAGCAACAGGAAACGCTCTGACGTACGCTACGTACGTACGTGCTTTACGTAAAGTGCGTAAGGGCTTTACGATCAACTGGTGCAAAACACAGTGTCAAAAACTCGTAATTTATACATATTTATTTATGTTGTTTGTTTATTGCAGCTTCACTCAGCTCTCCCAGCTGAGTGAAGCTGACACCCACACAAAAAAAAAACACGCAAGTAAGTGGATTGGTTAGTGGTTAGCGTTATTATAGTGGTTATTGGTTAGTGCTTCGTTTGTGCAGCTTTGTGCAGTTAAAATGAGTGTTATAGTTTTTGAGATATTTTATGTTTCAATTTCAGGCGATCACATGAGCTGAATTATTTCCATCATTACCTGAGGGTAACAGGTTTATTTAAGAGAAAATAAGTAGAAAGAGTTAGTTCATACACCACATGGATGTAATCTGAAGATAAAGCTGACAGAAGATGAAAAAAATAACCACCTGCTGACTGTTCTGCACAGAGCCTGACATGAACTGATGTTGTCTGTGTTCTGTGACCATTAGGGCTGCCACAAACGATTATTTTTATAATCGATTAGTCGTTGATTATTTAGTCGATTAGTCGACTAATCAGATCATACGTTAATTGAATATAAAACATAGAGCTTATTGTGCCAGAATGCAGCTGTTATTATATAACCATGGTTAGATTTTAGCTATATGCTAACTAAAAATAATAGCTGTGGAAGGTAAGTTCTGCTCTGCAGATATT